ACTTCAGCTGGAGGTGGTAACCCGAGCCTGGAGCCCCAGCCTCAGGGAGGGAGGAGAGAGGGCCGAAGGAGAGCGGTGGGCTTACCCACCACACTGAACTCAACCAAGTTACCGCTAACGGACAGGAAAAGGCCTGCTTTGTTACAGTTCTGACACCCTGTCCTAAAATTTGCATTCTTTATTCACCTGTAGTGATTATTTGAGAATAGTTTTTGTTGTTTTTTTCCAAATCCCCAAATTATATTAAAGATTCAGTTGGCAAGTAATTTTACTCAGCACTTAGTATGTACCAAGCACTAGGGTTCGGTGGTGAACAAAGATAGACAAGGCAGTTTCTGCCCTACAGGAATTTAAACCCACTCACTAGCTGTTGTACATCAATACTGATAGGAATTGAAGTATATCTGAGTATAGTCAGCTTGAGTGCTTTTTGTGGAAAGTCTTAGCTTTATTATAGTCTTAAAGTCCTAAACTATTGGTGTGTCCTCTTTGGGGCATGGCCACTCAGATCTCCTTTTCCAGTGAATTATCTTTCTTCTGAACCCTAACAGTTCCCGTGAGACTTGCAGCCGGGGGAGCAGTGGGCAGCAACAGCTTGTCCTGCGTTAGCCCCATGAACCTGTCTCCAAGGCCCCCTTTACTCTGACTTTCCAGTGAGTAGACAGCAGCCCTGCTTAGGCTCTCTCCTTTGCTTCTTCTATCCTAGACCCTTCCTTGTTTCACTGTCCCTAGCTTTAATAAATGTACTCTCAAAAAAAACAAATCCTAAACTGTCAAGAACTTTCCAGATGTCTTCAGCTAAGTGAGGTTAGGCACATTGGGCAAATAGAACAGCAGAATTTTGGTGAGGAGGAGCAGAAATAACACAGCTTCAATCAGGCTTCTGCTTAAGTGACAACATCTGGCTACTTCAGAAAACGATGGATTCATACTTATCAAAGTGTACTTGATAAGTGGTAGATAGTGCTTGATATAGACCCTCATCTTCAAGAAAATGTAAGCATTGACTTCCTCATACAAACACAGGAAAAGCATGGCTGGTATGACTCAGTAGATTGAGTGCTGGCTTGCAAACTGAAAGGTCGCTGGTTCGATTCCCAAAGAGGGCACATGCCTGGGTTTTGGGCCAGGTCCCAGTTGGGGGCATGCAAAAGGCAATTGATTGATGTATTTGATGTATCTCTTGCACATCAGGGTTTCTCTTTTCTCCCTTCCCCTCTCTCTAAAAATAAGTAAATAAAATCTTTAAAAAATAAAGAAAACACTCATTCTCAAAATACTTCTCAATAACATATATTTTTACAAAAACAACACAGGAAAACAATCATGGTTTTTGGTGACAATAAAGCACCATTTCTAATCACTCTGTAGTTTTAAAACTTGAACGGTGAGCTAAGAATTAAAAAAGGTGTGTTGCGTGGCTGCCTGGAACATCTCTGAAATTACCATCTTTGGAAGAGGTAAGTGATAGGAAAAGGTGACTTGAATGAGAGCTGGGTACTTTCCTGTTTGGCTTTTTGCCACTGCTGTGAAACCTGTCTAAAATAAACACTGTCAAAATCAAAATCACATGTCCTGTGTTAGTCTCAATAACATTCTCTGGTCCTCTTCCTATCCTAGCACCTAATGAACTTTCAGTGTACTATTTCCAAATAGCTTCCAAGTAATTATATCAAATTAGGATCTATTTATTCAGCCATCAAAAATTGATGTTTTCTCAGTAATCAGGCCCTTGCCTTTCCTGAGCTCACAACCTGTTTGAGAGACAGATCATGACGCCTACTGATAATCTAATATGATGAGTAATGTTGGAGGCTGTGCAGTTACCACCGGCCATCCTTGTGCTCTCTCTTCGTATGAGGCTAGCCCATAGATCCACACAGAGTCCACACTGAAAACTCTGTTTCCCATTTATTCTGTGGTTTGGAATAACAGAGATGCCAAGGGCTGCCTTGATTATTTGTGTCCCTTTTATATTCTCACTGTATAATATATGAGGTTTTAACTACAACAAAACCTCCACTATACCTAGGAGGAAACTGAAGACGAAATGTGTTGTCCTGCAGAGCATCCTTGTAATTCTTCATGTAGATAGAAACTGTTACATTCCATTACTGCGAGTTAATTCTAGCAGTCAGGAATATGTTTAGATTAATTCCATCCTTCTTTGCAAACCATCATGAATAGTCAATAAATCCTAGTCTGGAAGAATTTACTTTAAGAGTTTCCTCCTTCTGACAAAGACTTTCATAGGTCTGTACCAGTGATCTTCAAAAGTTGGACTCGGAGGAGGGTATAAGGGGAATAAATGGTAAAGGAAAAAATACGATTAAATCAAAAAATAAATTAAAAAAAAGGAAAAGAAGTTGGCCTCAATCAGTGATTTATTAGCTCATCCACACTGATTAATCATCATTCTTTTGTAATTAGCTTTCTTTAGCCTCTAGTCCCTACTTCTTCACCATTCTACATTAAATACTAACCACAAACCCAATCTTCCTCCTTCATTTCTTTGCCCTTCTGAGTGCTGCCACTGAAAAATCTGTTGTTCAGCCCTGGCTGGTGTGACTCAGTTGATTGAGCACTGGCCTGCAAGCCAAAAGGTTGCTGGTTCAATTCCTGGTTAGGGTACATGCATGCGGAAGGCAGCTGATTGATGTTTCTCTCACGGGTTTCTCTCCCTCTTTTTCTCCCTTCACCCTCTCTCTAAAAAATAAGTAAATAATTTTTTTAAAAAATTGACATAAAACCATGGACTTCTGTACTTGAAAGAGATTTTATTACTTAAACACCATAATTGTGTAAAGAAATGGAGTCTTATATATGGAAAGTAACTTGTCCAAGAACACACACTGAGTTAGTGGCAGAGCGTGTTTTCAAATCAAACCTAATTTCTAGCCTACTCTTCTGCTTATATATGTGATTTCCCAGGTCCTATCTTCTCACCAGGGCACAGTGCTACTCCTACTCATTATTTTCAGCCTTCTGCTTTTTGGTGAAACTATACCACTTCTCCCATTCTTCCAGATCTCTAGCATGAATACCTGAATCTCATTGCTTTGACCATTCACTGAAGTCCCTTACCCACAGAATCTTTCCATTTGGATGTTCTAGTTTCCTATTCCAGACCTAAACTACCTACCACCTTCCTCCTCTTAAATTCTTCCTCAGCTTTTTTCCAATAATGAGAGCACCATTTTTTCTAGACTCAAAACTTTGGGGGCAGCGATGAATCAGTATTTCTTTCCACCCTCCCTTTTCTTACCATCCCCACTCTACACGCATTCTCCCTCTCCCAGTCTCACATTTGTCCAGGTCTTTGCATTTTCTTTGTCTAAATGATTTCCCTGCTTCTCTAGTCTTTGGCCTCCAAAAAATGACAGGTGTTTTGACGCTAACTCGACCATTTACTAAGCAAATTATGTGAAAGACTCAACTGATCTGTAAAGTGAGGTGGTAGTGATCTTAAAATGTTATGAAGACAAATTGAAATAAGATGCAAATTTCAGTTGTAAAGTCTAACCCATAGATGCTCAATAAATATTTGTGGAATGATTAAATGTTAGTTCCCCTTTCCTTACAGCCATGGGTATGAATTTGAATTTTTTATCTACCTAAACTATAAAATTAGTTGTTAATACTTCACGATCTTAAAAAATGACTATCTCCTTTGCTACATGATTATGTCAAATTCTAAGTATAGAATTTTTTTTGTCTTGCTCCATTTTTGCTTACAACAGTCTTGAAAGTATATAATTCAATGGTTTTAGTATATTCACACAGTTGTGCAACCATCACCACGAATTTTAGAATATTGTTTTCATTTAGTATTTTTTACTTGTACTAACATTATAAACTCGTAATTAAATAATGTTGATAGTACCTTTATTTTTTTGTTGACTAAGGTTTTACTTTTTTCCATTGTATTTACAACATTTTTGTTATTCTAAAAAGAAACTCTATGTACATTAGCAGTGACTCCCATAACTACTGGCAGCCACCTATCTTTTTTCTGTCTGTGTGCTAGCCATTTCTACAAATGGAATTGAACAATTGATGGCCTTTTGTGTCTGGCTTCTTTCACTTAGCATAAAGTTTTCAAGGTTCACCCATGTTGTAGCATGTATTAGAACTTCATTCCTTTCTATGTCCAAATGATATTTTGTTATTATGGATTAGCCACATTTTCCTTATCTAGTCATCACTTTGTAGACATGTGGGCTTCCATTGGGGCTGTTATGAATAATGCTACCATGAATATTTGAGTACAAGTTTTTATGTGGATATATGTTTTCAGTTAAGCCTAGGAGTGGAATTGGTATAGAATCTTTAGTTGATAAGGCACAGAATTTTCACTTCAAAGCAAAAAGTTCTCATGGTGAGAGAACTAAGGGTTCTTTCTAAGCAGGGTGTTCCCTTCTATGTTGGTTCCATAAGATTGAAATTCTTTGCACTGGACCTCACAGAGCACTGTGCTCCCAGTCATGGAAAACAACAGAAAAGCAAGAGCCTGTGGTCGGAAAGGATCAGAAACAGTACAAATGCCTCCATATAATTAAAGGATGCTTTCCTAGCATAGGGTAACAAAATAACCCCCACATGTCAGTGGTTTATTCCCACTAAAGTATTCATTTCTTCACTTAAATATGAGGTGTACTACAAGATCAGAAAGGGAAAACTCTCCTACAGGGATGCAAATTAAGGAAGAGTTAGATTAATGTGAACACATTTCAAAAATATCCTATCCCATGCTCTAGAGCGTGAGCCTTTGGAGTGAGAGTGACCCCCTTCCCAACCCAAACTGAACTGAAAGGGAGAAAAGAGGGGTCTGGAAAAGCTTGTGGACTATTTACACTCAGCTCAGAAGCAGGTTTCAAACACTGCCTTTACGAAAGCCATGGCAAAGGGGAAAAAGTGTCCTTGAGGTAGACTTGGTATTGAGCATCATATGATCAGTCCTACAGAGGTCACTAATCACTTTCCCTTTTTTCTTTTTCCAGTGAACGAGATCATTGGAAGAGACATGTCCCAGGTTTCTGTTTCCCAAGGAACAGGGGTGAGCAGGCAGGCTCCCCTCCCTGGTCCCGATTCCCTGGATTTAGGAAGATCTGACGGGCTCTGACAGCGCTTGCTGCAACCTTGCATCCACCACCACCATATACTTCTCAGCATGTTTCTCTCCTTGGAGCTTGGGTTCCAACTCTGTGGCCTTAGGGACTGGCACCAGGAACCAGAGGCCACAGTTCGTGGGGAAAGCAGCATTCCTCCACCTCAGGCCTTGGGTCGATTTTGTAAAAGAACAGGAGCAGCATAGGTTGTTTGAGCTTTGGGGAACTGGGCTTTGCTTTTTATTTTTGAATAGGATACTTTTATATGATGGGTGCTTTGAGTGTGAATGCAGCAGGCTCTTTGTTTCAGAGGTGCTGCTTTTTCAGGTGACTTGGTTGCTTAGCTAGGACTGGTGATTTGTACTGCTCTATGGTCATTTGAAGGACCCTTTAGCTTTAATGACATTTTTAAAATAGAAACTTTTGATAAAACCTTCTAGAGGCAAACATAAAAGACAGAAATTCTCCCAAGCCCACACCTATGCCTCAGAAACTCAGCATGTGTCCTGAAGCCTTTCATAGATCCATGGGAAATAAAGCCAAATGTAGCTCATACCTCTTTATAAAAGTAAACTTAGATAAAATGAGAAGAGACCATTCCAATCATTGAAGTATTGGAATATAAAATGACATTCCAGAGCATAGCCTTTTTGTAACTTTCTAGGTAATTTTCCTGCAGTCTCTCCATTCTGCCTCCATGCTGAAATTGCTTTTTTCCCCTCAGGGCCTTAGGTAAGATAGCTACTTATAAGGTGACTTTAAAAGGTGAGGTTTTAGTTTGGTAGCTTTAATTTCCTGTCATTCTACAAACAAGTGCTCTTCCCCTTTGTGCCCTTTTCCAAGTGGAAGCATCAGCGTTTGGCTACTCTGTAACCTTTGAAGCCAGTCTCGGGATGGTTTAAGCAACTTTACTGGCTCTAACTCATCTCTAGGGGCCAGGCTGTGTTCAGGAGCTAAGCACAAATGAGCTATGCTTCAGAACAGGAGCAGAGAAAATGCAGGACCCTAGATGGCAGGTTTTTAAGATTCACACTGGCATAGAAGGCTTATCCCTCATTCTGTTTACAGTCTCAGATGCTTCTGGCCTACCTTGTTCCATCTGCACGGCCTGAAAACCAGCCTTTTGCCAAAAAGGCTTTGAGGCAAATCCAAAAATGAGGTAGCATCAGACTTGATCCTCCAGACCAAAGATGCCATGGTGCTGCTGCAGGAGAGGCTGGCGCTCAAGGCAGGGGCCAGCAACAAACTCCAGCCTGCTGTCTACCAAAGGAGGTGCCCAACTCGGGTGCTTTTTTCAAGCTCCACCCTTCCCCTTCCCATTAGTGGGATAAGTTATCTGGTCCAAAGCCTGGGCCTATTTCAAAGTTCCTGAAGTTTGCAGTATGTTTTCAGATGAAATTATATACTTTCATTTATTCAGAAAGCACATTTTTTTGAGTGCCTACATATGAGACACTGTGCTGGGCTGGTCAAAGGTTTGATGCTGTTAATTCCAGGGGATTGTGGGTCTTAGATGCCAGGATTCTCTACTAAAGCCAAGTGAGTCCCGGGCAGAGGGAGCGAGCTCGTTGCCCACCACCTGTAGCCAGGTAGGAGCTGTTGACCCAAGATGAGTAAGTATGGGGTTTTTTGTTTGTATTGTTTTGTTTTTTCCTTTAAACCATGATGTTTTAAATTTTTCCCTTAAAACTAGTTAGGAAAATCACTGTTACTCTGGTCCCTCTCAGACCAAGTGTTTTCATATTTTCTTTGAAAGTGAGTTTTGTGTCAGTGTCGATAGATTTTTCAGAGCTGTGGTTGGAAGCCCACAGCTTCCTTTGGAAGTTGTGGGGGACTGGCCCCCAAGATTAAGTTCCAAGGAGCTGGCCAGACTTGCCTCCACCGTCTTGCCCCTGGTGTAGCTGCCTCACATGGGTTTCTTGCAAAAGTTCCCCTTGCAAGATCCATTGGGGGTTGCTCTGCTCTGTCCTCAAAAAATAAAAGCCTCTATGATCCTGAGTTGCTATGCACCAAATTTTGATGCCTTTTAAATACCTTGATGCCTGTAGCACTAGAAATGCTTTCCTATTTAAAATAAAAGTTAAATTTTAAAATAGAGCTTTGTATACTATGTAAGCAGTTTTGTATCAGCTTTGTAAAAGCTTTGGTGTTAAGAGTCAATATTTTTTGGCCTTGTAGATAAAGACATTTTTGTGCAACATAGGTGTTAAAGCACACATCCACTGGACTATGCAAATTGAGTTCTAGTAGCAGCACTGAGCAGCTGGGTATGTGCTAACACCAATCCCCTCCCCCTCCAGCCTGTGCAAGATCCAGGTTGAGGAGTGGGGTGAGCAGCCTTCTGCTTACTGGAGATGCACAGGGAAACATGGCTGAAAACGGCTCTAAAAGGAACAGCTGTCTCCAGGATCACGTGTGGTGCTGCTGCCTGGGGTGCAGCCCACTGCTGCCCAGGGCTAGTCACTGTCATCAGAGTTCTGCTGGGTCTGCCTATGAAACTGTTTTTGATACTCAGAACAGATGGTTATGTTTAAGGTTCAGATGGGCTAAAATTGAAACCTTGTATTTTAAAAAATGAATGATGTTCAGTTAAGGAACTGGTTCTCAGTTATGTTTACAGCACTCGGGATTGTGTTTTCTTGTACATTTTGTATTTTAGAACCTTTTTTAGGAGTACAGTGCTCCTTACACAAATACAAAGGGAAGAGCCAGCAATTCAGGCTCCTCAGTTACAGTGCTGAAGTAATAAACGATGACAGGTCAACAGTCTCCTTGAAATCTGCCTGAGTTTTCCTCCACTTGGTGCTGGTGTGGAGCCCCTCACTCTGGGGGCCAAAGATAAGGGTACTTTGGCTTTTAAAAAGTCCGTGTGGTCAGGAACCTTTATATATTTCATGGAGAGGGTAGAGTTCCAAGTCCCTTCTGACGCTTCAGTTCTGCACCCTCTAATGGGTGCAAAGGACATTCCACGGTGTCTGCTGAATTCAGGACAACTGGCCTGCCCAAGGTGTGCACAAAAAGTAGGCAGAAAGTCCCCTTTAAAAGTCAAGCCTGAGTTTTTGTGTGAGGGCCTCCTGCCCCCTAGTGTTCTTTGGGGGTACTGCAGTACAGTCCATCAAGACAGCCTGTGGTTTTGCCATCTGATACTCCTTGTGCCGAGCTGCAGGGGCCACCACCCTTAGGTAGGACCACCTCCGGTACAATATGGCCACTGAGGTCCAAGTATCCTGGGGGCTGGAGCCAGCGCTTTCTTTTTCTCTGCTCCCCCACCATTGGGACATTTACTCAGAATCTCTCAGGAGTCATACGTTGAAGGCACCAGGGCTTACATTTTTAAAAAGTCAGACCTGCTGTGGGTGTCAGCTCCATAGCATCTGTGGGCGTGGGCCATATCTAGGACTAACCAAAGGCTCTCTGGGTGCTCCTCAAGAGGCCCAGGTTAGGCCATTGGGAGCAGGGTAGCACCATTCCACCCCAAGCCCTGCATGCAGGGTACGCAATCATCTTTGGGGTGAACAGCAGAACAGTAAGTGGGGGACAGAGCTGGGGCATGAGCTCCTCTGAGTGCTTTCAGCAAGAAGCTACCAGATTGAGGGCACTGCTTCTCTGGACACAGGAGAGACATGTTAGCTGGCTAAGGACGTCAGCCAGCTCTTACCTTCTGACTCCCTCGCCTACAAACACACCCATTCTTTGGGGGCCTGTAGCACAGTTCGAGACGGGTCACCAACAGGCATCAGACTGGTGTAGTCATCAGGGACTAGCTGCAGAAGGGACAGAGATTTAGGGCAGGGAGCTCTAGGCTCAGCCAGGTCCCCAAACCCTCCAGTCACAGCTCACCTGGTAGGCCTGAAAGACGCTGAGCAGATCCTTCATACCAGCTGTGTATGGGACACCCTGCATACGGACCAGGGCGCCTGGCTGGGACAACACTGAGGTAGGAGCAGAGGCCAGGGCAGCAGAGGGCGTGGTGAGGTAGCCCATAGTGGTGGGAGAGACAGGGGGGCTAGGGTAGGAAAGGCGGGGTTTTAGTATTTCAGTCCTACCTGCAGCCTAAACCAAAATCTGCCGCCTCCTTCCCTTGCCTCTGCCTTATGCTTAGTTCAGTTCCTCCTTCCTAAGATCATAGCCTCTCCATCATCTCCATTCCTGTTTGTAGACAGCATCAGCCAGCCACACTTTTCACTCCCTTGTTTCATAGACCTTGAGTTATCTGGCCCAGGAAGGGGATAAGGATCCTCCTCCAAACCAGGACAGGGGACAACTCTATGCAGTTCTCTCAGCATCAGGGTACCTGGGGTAGTAAGCTGTGTAGTTCATGTAGAGTTGAGTGGCTGGCCCTGGGTAGTAGGCAACAGGGGTGGCGGCAGCAGGCACCCTGGCAGCCGGGAGCAGTGCCGAAGAGGGATAGAGAGCTGCTGTCTCAGTGGGAATGAGTGTTGGGGTGGCCTGGAAGGTGGCATAGGCTGGTGGTGAGAGGCCTACAGGCAAAAGTAGAGAACATATCTGCAGGGAGCCTGGCACTGCCCTGGGTGGGGCAGCCAGAAAGAAGTCCCCACTGTAGAAAGTGAGGGTTATGACAGCCTGGGCTCCGCATGCCTCCTCCTTCCCGAGCCCTGGGACACTCACAGGGCAGCTTGCAGGGTGGAGGGGACATGCCACTGCGGCCCAGAGTGCCCCCCATTAGCACACGGCTCATCTCTTCTGTGGAGCAGGGGACCACTTCCACATAGCGTTCCTTCATCACTTTTTTATGGCACCGCTGAGCAGTAGCTAAGGCCCGCTCTGCTGACGTCATCTGGATGAAGGCATCGCCCGATGGCCGACCCTGTGCACACCATCTCATAAGTTAGTCTATCCTGATAACAACACTGCCTTACTCCCAACCACACAGCCCTCCCTAATCATGTGTGTCCCCCTACTGACAGCAGCCTCACCTGCTGGTTGAGCACCATGTGCACACCGTGGGGCCGGATGTCCGCTGCTGCCTCCCCGAGAAAGCTCAGGATGTCTTCGATGGTGGCTGTGTAGGGCAGGCCTCGAAGGCGCACACAGTCTCTCCCAGTCCCAGCTGCCAGTGGGAAGGGAATGGGCAGCAGTGGAGCAGTCAGCGTGGGAAGGAGTGGGCTGGATGCGTAGCGGTTCAAGACCTAGTAAGGAAGGAAGCAACAGGCTGGTCATGCCGAGTAGGGTGGGGACACAGGCGATGGAAGGGGCACCCTGGAAAAGCACATGGGATCGGGGAGCCCTTGGTGCTCACCTGCTGCACCTCGGCTGCAGTGCTCCGGAAGAGTTCAATGTATCGCTTACCCAGCATGCCCTTGTGCCTGCGCAGGGCAGCCTGTGCCAGCTCCTCACAGGCAAAAAGTGCAAAGGCATCACCTGTGGGCCGGCCGTCAGGGTGGCGTACAAAGAGCAGCCCATCAGCACCCCCAGTCACTGGGCACTCTGGGCCCAGGAAGTCTAACACATCTGTTGGCCCAGCAGAGAAGGGCAGTCCTCGAAGCCGCAGGATCACTTGGTCTTCCCTTGACAGGAAACGAGCCACCTCTAGTGATGTGCCTTGGTGGGGGGAATGGGAGTCACTACTGACTTCATTCATGCCCTTCCAACTACCCATCCACACCCGGCACACAGGAGAGCAGAAAGGCAAGGGGTCGTGACGTGGGAAATGGGTCAAGAACCAGGGAGCGGTAGGCACTGCTGGGGGCACAACTCACCCCCTGCGATCTTTACAAACTCCTCTCCTGTTGCTTTATATACCTGTGGGTATAGTGGGGACGGTCTGTGGGTCTCAGGCCTGGCTGGCCTCAGCTCTGCACTGCTCCACTCCCAGCCCAAATCCCCACCTCGATATAGCGGACACCCATGTGGTGCTTGTGTCTCTGCAACGCTAGGTCCCGCTGCTCGCTGTCCTCAAAGCGGATGAGGGCCTCGCCATTTCTGCGGCCCTGGGCATTGAGGCAGAGTGCTACACCACCCCTGTGGAGCCAGTGCTATGTTAGTGCCTCCTGGGTAGGCCTGCCCTCCTAGGCCCACCCATCCTGCTGCACCCACCTGGCAATGTTGAGCCCTTTGAAGAAGCGAGCCACGTCCTGGTCTGATGACTGCCAGGGCAGCCCACGGGCACGAACCACAGTCTCACTGTCCACCACATCGGCCTTGCTGCTGTGGGGGGAGGGCCCAGGGTCAGAGCTGTCCAGCTGCTGGCACCCCATCCCTGCCCTGCACTCACCAAGGTCCTGTCTCATATTTCTGCTTTATCACCTCGGGCTTCGAAAACAATTCACCTAAAAACAGATGGCATGGGGGTCAGCAAGGTCTGTGGAGGCAGTCTCCCTACCAAAGTCTATGAATAGAGGACAGTTGGCCCTGGCTGGTGTGGCTCAGTGGACTGAGCACTGGCCTGTAAACTGAAAAGTCGCTGGTTCAATTCCCATTTAGGGCACGTGCCTGGGTTGCAAACCAGGTTCTGGTTGGGTGCTTTGTGAGAGGCAACCAGTATCTCTCACACACTGATGTTTCTCTTCCTCTCTTTCTCCCTCCCATCCCCTCTGTCTGAAAGTAAATAATTTTTTTAAAGGGCAATTGAAGAGGATGAGGAGGTGACAAAGGGACTTCCACCTTATGGTCTTTCAGAGAGGGTAAGAGGTGGGGAAGGGGACTTTGAGGATTTACTAGGCAGGCATTCACCCAGACCCAAGGGAACAGGTGACAGGTGGTGAGGGGAACCTTACCACTGGGCCCTTCGAGCAGGTGGAGGATGACAGCTACCATTGTCTTCACTTCCCAGACCCCAAAGTCATCCTCTGTGGCATCTGTCTCTAGCCCCAGTTCTGAGAGCAGAGAAAGAACAATGAGGAAATCAAATCCCAGGATGAGAGGCCCTGGGGCAACCAGCATGAGCACTGTGCCTGGTCCCACTGAGGCCCAAGTCGCAAGTAGACGCACATGGAATCCCCACAAGCACGTTGGTTTTGGCCCTGCTCACGTATACCCTTACAGATCCCCCGGCCCACACACATGCAGACATACAGCACACTCCAAATGTGCCCCAGCACAAAGAGACGCACTTCAGGCACTTAAGCAGCAGATGATGCCAATTGTCCATGCTCATAGAACCCACCAATGTGCACATACTCAGACACAGCCTACTGCCGCCCCTCCACCCTGACCCCACTGGGTCACAGGTACCCTGTGCCATGGTGGCCACGGTGAGGTCCCTGGCAAGGCGGGTGCTTGGGCGCTGCACATGGAACTCTCTGCGGAGGTCGTAGAAGGAGAAGAAGGTGTCGGGGAGCACCAGGTTCTGGGGGCACACGTGAGTGGGGATGAATGGGCGAAACAGCTGCCCTGCCCACCCCCGTGACAATGGGTGTCCTGAGAACCCTACCCCCTGCCGTGCCCTCAGTGGCATACCTTCCTGGAGGCCTCAGGGTGCAGGACCTGTCTCAGTAGCTGCTGCCCATCAGTGCAGAGCACGTAGGGGCCCCCACCCAGCAGAGCTATGTCCCCGCTCACCAGCTGTGAGAACTGGGGAGAGAGAAAGACAGACTCAGCTGGGCAGGCAGGAAGAAAGAGGGCACAGACTGCAAAGCTGGTTCAGCCAGATGTTCAGCCCTACCCTGTTTGGGGAGTAGGTGGCCACACCTGTTGGGTCTGGCTCTGTGTTCCCCTTCTCCCCCCAGTCCACTATCACCTTCTCGGGGCCAAATGGGGGCAGTTACATATCACCCAAGCCCCCATCACACACACTCCAGCAGTCTGGAGTGGGGCCAGAACAAACACCTGGCGGAGTGGGACAAGCAGGTGGGAAGGGGCGGGGGCAGGGGCTGGGGAAGCAGGTTAAACCTGTCCCTGACCAAGCACCACCCTCAGGTGGGAGAGGCCCAGTCCTGCCTGAGGCCCATCCGGCTCATGGTCAATGGCAGCCCCGCCTCTGGGTCTGACCAACCCAGGGGCAGAGAAATTCCAAGGACAGAACTCCACACCTGGACGCCAGGGGCAGCATGAGCTTTGACCCACACCCTATCGACCGGCTGGCACTGAGCTGTTTGTTCACAGAGGGGGTGGCACTCTTGAAGCTGCCCAGCCCCTCCCCCAGCTTCCATGGCTGCTGGAGAACAGGCATAAGCACCAAGCACAGCCCCAAGAACCTCCCCCACACCAGCCTCACACTCTGAGACTAGCAGAGCAAGGCAACCCGGCTCTCCCTCAGCTCACTTACCAAGTGGGGGTTAGCCTGGAAGCCCTTCTGTAACAGACCAGGAACCCCCACAGTGGTTGGAAAATGGAAGAATTTGTGCGTATAAAGCACTTACTCACTATACTAAAGAGTCACACCCGGGTTGGGGGCAGTGGTGAAGATAAGAAAAAGAAAACAGCAATGGGAACAGCCTCCCGCTTCAGCCAGGGCCAGGACAGCTCTAGGCTTTGGAACTCAGGAGGCCGGTAACCTCCAGGCGGGGTCCGGACAGCGCCCACGCCTGGCCAGCCAGCCGAGGCAGGCCTAGACGAGCAGCTTACACCTGGCGGCGTCTGCCTCTGGGGCAGACACCGCCCTACGCCCCCGCTCCAGCGTCTCCCAAGCGGGTGGGTGGGCCGAGGACGCAGGCGACAGGGACTGTGACCTGTGACCAAGCCAGGCCCCTCGGCCCTTTCGGCTTCCGGCTACTGTTCTGGGAGACCTGGCTGGGCAAGTTCCCAGAGGCGTCTCAGTCTTAGACTTGCTCCCCCGCCGGCCAGGGGCTCTGGAAAGGGTCTCGTGGCCTCCGTCCCCACCCCCTCAATATCTAGAAAGGCTGAGGAGTAAGACGCCCCCAGGAATGGCCGGCCCACGCGGACACACGCACACGCGGGAGTCCTTGAAAGTTTCAAACAACAGGAACCCGTCCTACCGCCCGGGCCAGTTAGTCGCGGTGCGCCAGGCCTCGCCTCCTGCCGCCTCTCCCGCCGAGAAATGTCCCTGGGGTCCGGCAATGTCTCCACTCACCCCGGCCCCGGCGCTCACCTGCTGCGGCACCTTGTCCAGCGGTTCGGCCCGCGCCAGGCTGTCGGCGCTCAGGCCACTCGCCTCGCGGCACTGAGGGCTCAGTGCAGCCGCCTCGGCGCGAATCAGTGACTTGTGCAGCGTCCCCACCTGCGAGCGGCGGGGGAACCGATCAACCACTGCACCCCTCGGGTCATAAGGCTCGCTGGGCACCCCACCACCCCCTTCCCACCTACCTGTCGGCTCCGCGGCTCCACCACTTGCCACACTAGCAGGATTAAGTCGGTCTCGTCGGAGCCCAGATCCGGCCCCAGTGCACCGGCTGTGGCCCCGAACAGTACGACCAGAGGTCCAGGCTCTGGGTGGGGGTCGGCGGCAGAGTCTGGGGCAGGGTTCGATCCCGGGGGCGGTGGCTGGGGTGGCGGCGAAGTCATGGCCGCAGAGGAGGGGGGCGCTCGGCCACACACACGCGGACCGACGAGGCGCACGCACGCACCGACCGACGGCCGACGCGGATCAGCTTGGGCGGGGAACGGTGTGTCGGAGGCGGCACCTGCGGCCCGGCTGGCGCAGTGGGCGCTGCTGAGACCCGCCCGCGGCGCCCGGCGAGGCGGGGCAGCTACCAGCCCCAGCCCTCTCTGGGCGAGTTACCTGTCGGGCCCCGCGGGCCACGTGACCGAGGGCGGCCCCGGGAGCCCTGGAGGAAAGGACGCTCAACCTGCCCCAGGACGCGCGCGCTCACACGCCCGGCCTGGGCGCGCGCTTAGGGCCCGGACTCCCACTCCCCCAGCTGGCTGATTTCTAGGGCGACCTCCTCCTCCTCCCACCAACCATGAGGCCTCCGCCAAGAAAAGGGCAAAACCAGAGGCCTTCTCTAATCCTAAGGGTTGCATGGAACTTGTGAAAATCACCAGGAGTCGGAGGCTGTGGGGGCCGCGACGGTCGGCCTGGGGGTGACAGAAGTCACCAAAGGTCAAAGGGGGAGGTTACCGAGTTACCAGGTATCACCCAGAGGCCTGTGGGAGGATCACCGGAGGTCATTAGAACCGTGGGGAGTCATTAGAGGCCACAGCAGGGCTTGTCCATACAGGTGGGAAGGCCAGACCTCAGCCTGGCTCTAGGAAGTGCCCGCGGTGCCAAAGCGCGTTCAGAGAGGTGCACAAGCCTTAGCGCTGCTGCTTCGGGAGGGACAGGCGGACCCCCACCCCCAACTCCAGAGCGGCACTCTAGACCCGGCTAAGCAGGATGGTCCGGGCCTGGAGCCTCACCCCTACCCCACATGGGAACTCCAGCCTGTTTTTATAGCCCTACCCCCTTGACGATGGGCCTGTTGCCTAGAGATGTGAGCGCGATGGCGGATGCGGACTAGCGGCACATTTGTAATGTGAGCTTGCGGGCTGCAAAACCTCTCCTCCATCCGGGACCAACATCCTAATTCGGTCAGTCCCACGTGGAAGGCTCCCAGCACCCTTTCGCCTCGTTGATCTTGGTGAGGCTACTTTACGGCGCATTTCCAGGCCGCCCCGGATTTCCCCAAATTGTCCCATTTATGTGACTGAGAAACTGAATAAGGATCCGGCGGGAAGAAGGGACCCCATCCCGGCGGGAACAAAGACATGGGGGTTGCCAAGCCCGAGCCAAAACTGAGGCGGAAGCCTCACCTCGCGATTTCGGAAAAGCAGGGCGCTGCGTCCGGATCTTCGCACAGCGAAAGAGCCCGGGGTGGAGGGAGCCTTCGAGGCCTTGTCCACTGAACCCACACTTCACCTGTCCTCCCCATTTGAAGGATGTACAAAGACTAAGGCGCCTGGACGGAAGTGACTCGCACCGACACACGGCGGCCTGGAGGGAGTGGGAAGTAGTTCTTCCAAAGGCTTCGGGAGACCTGCGCTTCCCCTCGGGGTGTAGGCTTGTGTCCACGCGCGGCTGCCCCTCTCTGGACCGCCCACCCGGGACTGTCGTTTGTCCCCACCCCCGGAAGAGCTAAGCCAATCAGGCCCGGGATGGGGAAACGTAATTTTTCGGGCCTCGCCCCCCTCGAGATAAGCCTGGAATGTCAAATATTTGGTCGCAGGGCTGGGCGCAACAACGAGGTAAGGCTCCTCCCCCTCCCCCCTGGAGCGCCCGTGAGCCAGATGGAGTCGGGTCTTTCTCCCTGATCCCCTTCACCCCAGCAGCACCTCTGGCCCCCCGGCTCTCCTGAAACTCCTGGCTTACATGGGTCCTTGAGGATCTCTTGTCTGGGCTGCTTGCTCCTCCAGGACAGAACCCCGGCGCCCCCCGCGGGCAGTCCTGGCGCTGCTGGATTTCTGTCTCACCCACCCTAGTGCCCTCTTGAGTTCAACCTCTAGACCCCGCAAGGCCTTTCCCTGTTCTTCAGCGCGGGTCTCCACGCCGGCGCCTCCCAGAAGCCTCCCGCTCGAGGTGGCTGATCTCTCCAGTGCGGTCTCTCTGGCCGTTCTAAGAGCGAGGGCACTCCCACTGGAGAGCCCTTCATGCGTATCCAAGTACTGTACCTCCTGGATAGTGAACCTGAGGCAAGGGACTGGCAGCGTGGGGCGGCTCCCCCAAACGCCCTTGTCCCTGTCCGATCGCCCCCACCCGCATGGCAAGTCCCGAGGCTTGAGCTCTCCTTCGAAAACTCGATTCGTTAAAATAAACGTAGAGGACAACTGTAATTGAACAACAATAAAAATTAATTAATTAATTAACCTTAGGGACCTGCTTTGCTGAACTCTCTTACTCATCTTCAGGTGGGTCCTCCCAAATCACCCCATTAATACTAAACAACCCGCACTCCTGCTCCGCATTTGGCTCGCACATTTCCTTTCCCCCAGCACTAAACCAACTTCTAATCCAATGAGTAAATCATTCATTTTTCCCTGCCCCAGCCCTCATTCACAAGAACACCAGATGCTTGAGGACAGGCTCGTCCCCAGTGTCTGTCACTGGGCCTGGGGTGTACAGTTGGCCCTCCCCAGTCGAGGTTCTGTATTTGTGGATTCAGCCAACCAAGGATCAGTTTTTGGTTTTAATTCCAGAAAGCTGAGCCCTGAACAATACAGTATAACAGTTATTTACATGCCATTATTTTAGGCATTATAAGTAATCTAGATGAGATTTAAAGCATAGGTCAGGAAGTGTCTAGGTTATAGGCAAATATTACACCATTTTATGTAAGGGACTTGAGCAACACAGAATTTTGGTTTGAGGGCAGGGAACCAATTCCCCCAAGATACTTAGGAAGCATTACAGTTGCTCAAGGCTTAATGGATCAATGGCTGAGCCCTGGTGGGATAGGTCAGTTGGTTGGAAGGTAGTTGAGGGTGGTGGAGGTGTTACAGGTTCGATTCCCAGTCCAGGCATGTGCCTAGGTTGCTCGGGCATATGATCAATTTTTCTCTCTCACATTGATGTTTCTCCCTCCCTCTAAAATCAAAAACATCTCCTTGGGTGACTACTAAAAATAATAATAAATGAGTGGTTGTCTTGCTTTGGCTGCTTTCGAGTAGTCCAGGCATAGTCACCTTCCCTGGGGCTAAAGGGCCTTTGCACTAGTTTTGCTCTCTTTACTTCCCTCGCAGCTCACCTTTGCCCTAGTTAACTCCTGCTCTTCTTCCAGATTTTCCCCTTTCAAGGCACCTCCTTCCATAGCAGAGATCCCTACTGTAGTTTGAAATGTCTGTATTTCACGGATAAATATCCCCCACACCCATTAGGATTCACGAACTATGAATGAATGAATGAATAGGAGATAAGGTATGCGAGAGGGGTGAGAGCCTTTCCCAAATCATACTCCAGGTATTAATGAGAAAGGAACTTGATTCTGCCAGAGGGACCTCATCCTCGCCTCACTTCTTCGTGGCAGGGCTCGAGGGACAGTCCTACCACGAAGGCAGCGGACGCTCCAGCCATTGGTATGGGCAGATACCAGGGTGGAGATCCTTGCCTGGGGCAGGAAGTGTTGATGTTCTTGTGGACCTCCGGGGAGCCTAGGAATGGTGTAAAACCCGGCTTCGCCCTCCTTCCTTCCTGCTGTGGGAGAGGGTTCGATGCTAGGTGCTTGCTGGTGTCCCCGGAGGTGATCCCCACTCACTGTGCTAGGCCCATCCCCATTCTCAGCGTCCTCCAGCTGGGCTAGGTCACCCTTCCCTATCTCCCCAGCCTCCAGAGTAGCAAGAGCTCTGGCCTCCCCACGAGTCCCCGTCTCCGCCCCTTTTTCCCCATTAGAGGGCGCACTGATTCTGTCGCTTCATCTTGGTGGTAAGTTCAGGGAAAAGAGCTGAAGGGGGAAAGCCCTTGACACTACCTCCCAGGCCGCCTCCCTAAGGCTTGAGAATATTCGCGGCTCCAGGTCCCCTGGATACAGACTACTTTTTTTGAAAGTTGCTTTCAGGGGAGGGTACGCTCAGGAGCTCTTAGTGAGGGGTGGAAGGAACCCCTTCCTTTTCACCATCAGGGGCTTCTGTCTGCGCGGGATGGCCTGGCCCTGTGGCTGGCGGCCGTGCCCAGATCCTGGCCGTCCTTGTTCTTGTGGATTGTGTGCCAGATGCTGCCCAGGGTGACCCGGGCGTTCTTGTTGATGGTGTCCCTCACGTAGGAGGGGACCGGCTTTTGCTAGCTGGATTTCTGCTTCATGACGACCACCATGCCTTTGCCCTGGGCCTCCGGCTCCGGGCCCACCGTCTTGTCAGTCAGCCCATTATAGCGAAAGGAGCTGCGAGCCTTCAGATTATGAGCTCAGTGTTATATGTCTACTTATGCCTCTTGATCAGGAAGCTGGAGAAGTTCCCTCAACCATCTATTGCAGGTGGGCAGACATGGCGGCAGTTCCTCTCGCTGCGGCGGCCGGAAACGGAAAGGGAGGCCTCATTTTTTTTTCTTTTTCTTTTCCCCCCATGCTTTTAAGCTTGGGTTTCAGGACCTGTCAATGCCACACTCACCCACCATGTACTCCAGACACACTGCTGTGATTGTTCAGGACCTGAGGCTGCTGGACATGCTAAGCTTCCTGCCAGAACACCCTGTTTTCTTGACAAACTCCTACTTATTCTTCAAGACCCATCTCTGATTCTTCCTCCAGCCAGCCTTCCTTGATGCCTAGGTCAGGTTAAATGCCCTGTTCTGGGCCCCTTTCCACCAGGGTTCTGTAATGACTGGGTCAGTGTTTGGCCTCTTATGACTCCAGGGGGTGTGTGGCAGCAGAATAGGAGCCTGCTGAGCTGTGAGCTTGAGGAGAGTAAGTTGGCCTGCAAATGGGCTCACTTCTGGCTACCAAACCAGCTCAGAAGCCCTGGTCTTGGTTGGGTTGCCCCAAGCCCTGCCTCCCACCTAGTTCACATAGGGGAGCTTGCAGCTGGGGCAAGGGTGAGGGAATGCAAAGGGCCCAATATCACAGGAAGGGTGAAGGTTGTTAGCTGGACTTTCACCAGAGGAAGACAACACAACTGGCCTGGCTCTTCAGTCTCCGGGTTCATTCTTACACCTGGCCTTTGCCCAGAATGTTCCCCTTCACAGGAACGCCCTCCCCCTTTCCTAGTTTTTCTAGAACGTGACTCTTCTAGTCACATCCAGCCCTGTGGACCTCTCAGTCACTCTTTTCCTTCTCCAGGTCTGAGCGGCATCAGGACCCTATCCCGGAATGGGGGAGGGTTGTAGAGAAGGGGATGCATCATTCATTCATTCAGCATATGTTAAGCACCTGCTGTGTGCCAGGGACTGTGCTGGTGATAACTGGTAATACAGGAGGTGACAGTGATAAGACAGGGGAAGGGCCTGCTTTTCCAGGGATTAGATTTTAATGGGAGCCAGGCAGGTCTAAGTTGAAGCCTCAATGCAGAGCTCAGCTGAGCCCCCCAAAGTGGGGACTACACTGGTCCCAGTGCAACAAGTCCTGGGGGAGAATGAGGTTGTCCTGTTCTTTAAAAAAAAAAAAAAGATTGTATTTTTAGAGAAAGGGGAAGGGAGGGAGAAAGAGAGGGACAGAGACAGCAATGTGTGATTTCCTCTCACATGACCCCCACTGGAGACCTGGCCTACAACCCAGAAATGTGCCCTGATTGGGAATCGAACCCATAACCCTTTGGTTTTCAGGCCAGTACTCAATCCACTGAACCACAGCAGCCAGGGCAGGTTGCCCTGTTCTAAGCAGCAGGGAAGTCATTGACGTTGGAGATGAGAGAGCTGCCAGAGTGCAAATTGGGGCAGACAGCCAGCATACACTGCAGGGTCCTCACTCACTACGATGCATGCAATGGGAGGGGCATGAGTGGGGTTAAGCAGACAGTGATGGGGCTTGATGATATTTAATGGTATCAACCTAGCATGTGGAGAACAATCCACAGCAATAAGGGCATAAAGTGGGACATCAGTGAGGAGGCTGCCATGGGAATGGTGGTATTTCTGGCTTTGAGAGGCTAGAACTGGGGAGACTTGATGACAACCTGATTGTGGGCCCGAGAGTCAGGGAGGTTAGAGTCCAGGATGACTCAGGTCTGCAGCCATTGTGTGGGTGGTGGGGTCATGTGAAATGGGGGGAATCTCGCCTTCCGACTCCTCTCCACTATGCCAGCATGGGTCATTGCCGACCAAGCCTTGGCACCTCCTACCCCCCGTGGCCATGGTTCCTATTACCTGCAGGCCCTGTCGGAGTGGGGCACCTCAGGAACCTCTTCCAACAACAGACACCCTGTGAGGGGCCATGGTCACCTGAGGCTGTTGGACTGACAAGACGTTCAGACTAGTCCAAAGTGGCCCAAGCTGTCATGTTCCCTATTCTCTCCCAGCTTAACCCTTGGCTTTTGATCTTCTGTCTGTCCCTAGCCCTGGCAGAAGGGTCTCTGTGATCTCCCACACTGGGCCTGCCAGATTGGTTCTCAGTGACTCCTCTGCTGAGGCCGGAAATGGAGGTGAGGGAAGCAGGGGTGTTTTTTTTTAGGGGGGGGGGTCCCTGGGGTAGAGCTTGAGGTGGGAGATAGGTGGACCTTAAAAAAGAAGGTACCCTGTCCACCAATGTATTTCACTCTAAGAACACAGGAGGGGCAGGCCAAAATGGTGCTTAGGTTCGTTGAGGGGCACTGGGAGAGACTGGAAATGGTCAGTCACCGACCAAAAGGAAGGAAGGAGGGGAGGAGAGGGGAAGCACAGAGGTCTTGTGACCAGCTGACCAGGGTGTGACTGACCCTTGGGAGGGTGTATGAGGAGGATCAAGACCTCCAGTGTCCAAACATATGGTCCAGCTCTCCCGAAGTGTTGTGTGGTGCTGGTATATTACCGGCTGTTAAGTCTCTGCCCATTCTGTTCGCCCCGTTTTTCTCTCTGGGAGTCTGTGTCCTCTGGATCCTCAGGTTTGCGTGTGCTGGGAGGTCCCAGCATCCCTCCCGCTCTGCTGGGGTAGAGGGCCAATGATTTATGGCGCAGGGTCTAGGCTCGAGCCCACTCTCAACCCTGCCTGCGAACTGCTCCCTCTGTCAGGGTGACTCCATACTCCGCGCCCCTAAAAAGGGACAAACATCACATTCGGAATCGAAAGAGGCTGACTTGGCCTCTCTCCGCCCCATCCTAACCCCGGCAGAAGGTTGCCTGTCTGGGGCGGGGTTGCCTAAATACCCTAAGTGCTTTCTGGGCAGTGTTCGAAGATCCCGTGTGGGGGATTGCCCAGAGGTCCTGGTCAGCTCGGGTCCGCGAAGGCCCCCAAACTGCCTCATGCTTACTTCCCTTCTTCCCCTTGCTTTGACCGGCGTCGCCCAGCCGTCGCGAGCACTGGACCATGAATCGCCACTCAGTCAGGCTCGTTCCAGATTCCAGGTCAGGGAGCAGCCAGCAATTGGGGGTGAGGGCTGTGTAGCGTACGCTTCGAGTACCGAGGGCTGGGCTAGGTACCCAGCAGTGGCGAGCGGGGTCCTGAGGAGAGTTTGGAAACCAAGCTGAACCTAGATCGATCGATGCGCTCGGCTCGCAGCTCTGTCGAGGGAGCTAGTCCGGGATGGTCTGGGGCGGGGCTGCCAGCTCCGACTGGGCGGGACACGCTGGAGGCGAGTCCTTATTGGCAGGTCGTTTGCGGGAGGTGGGCCCTCATTGGCCTGGTCGCTGTGGAGGCGGTGAGCGGCGGGGTTAAGCGGGTCGCCGCGCCCGGACTAGGCTCAAGCCTGGATCTCTGAATCGGCGCCAGGGATCTGGACCCTCCACCCTACGCGATGGGTCCCCACCTCTGCATGTACCGCGCAGCCCTGCTACCGGGTAGCCTCCTGTTCCTCCTGCTGCTCTCAGACCCGGCGCTTCCAACCGGACGTCCTCCTCCGGTGGTCCTGGGTGAGGCGCGCGTCCAGTCGTGGGTCCGTTCGCTCTCGCGTCAGGCAGGACAGGGTGCGGGGATGATAGAGACTGTCTTCTCGATTTGCAACTGCTCTAAGCATGAGGTGGGGGAGCGTATGACTGACTTGTCACTTGGGTGGGTACGTCCACCTCCGGCCATACTGGTCGCGGGAGTGGTGAACCTATCTGTCACCTTCCCCTATAGAATACGGAGGCAAGTAGGAGGGTCACTGTGCCGGTGGTACATCGATCTGCCTGTCCACGGAAGTCCCAAACCTTGCCTCACCTTATCCCCATTTTTTAGGTGGAAAGACCAAGTCCCTTTGGCCCCACTCCTGAGGACCGGTTTGGGGGCAACGTGGCCTCAGAGTTGGCCCGCAGGGTCTGTAACGTTGACTTGGGCTTGTCTATTAAGCTGTTTCCCTGGACCCCTTCAGCCTCACAAGTTTTAGAGGGCATTACCGAAAGGAAACTCGCTGGGGAAAGGATTGCTGTCTTACTCTGCCACCAGGGCTCCCCCCAAATTTGTCAGATGGGTAGCACTGGGTCTGAGGGAGGAGGCCCTGAAGAATCTGAGGATAGCTAAAGACAGAGAGGTAAGAGGTGGGACATTGGGTACGAGCAGATGTCAGGGAGCATGCCTGCACTCATATCCTCCCAGACCTACTGGGACTAAACTACGTTGGGGCCAGGTGACCTCTCCTGCTTACCCCCTTCTTGGTCCTGACCCCTGGCAACTGTACAGGAGCCACAGTGTTTCCTTGTGGTGGTGGGCAGGGGTGAGACATCTGTCTTGGGGGGCTTGGATGCCTCAGGCAGGCTGTCACTCCCACCCAGAGCCAGTGTGTAGAGGACCAGCCAGGACTCCTGAAGACAGAAGTGTGCTGAAGCATACTAAGTCTGCGTGATCCCCATGCTCTTTCTTTTTTAAGATTTTATTTATTTATTTTCAGAGAGAGGGGAAAGGAGAGAGAGAGAGAGGGAAAGAAACACTGAAAAGTTGCCTCTTGCAAGCCCCCAACTGGGGACCTGACCCACAACCCAGGCACATGCCCTGACTGGGAATTGAACTGGTGACCCTTTTGTTTCTCAGGCTGGCGCTCAATCCACTGAACCACACCAGCCAGGGCCCAATGCTCTTTCTACTGGGAGTATTTTAATGGGGATGATGCTGATCACAGAAGGGTAAGGTTGGCCAATACTTTGGTCCCAAAGAGGCCCCTAGGAGCTCTGAGGCGGTAAATGCTTCAGAAGGATGCTGGGCCCAAGTTAACCACGGGAATTGGGTAAACTGGGCCCTGCCTTCCCTAAGCTTGCAGAATGATCCCCAGAGATGAAGTCTGTGCTGGGCAAGTACAGAGAATCCACTGACCCAATCAGGGAAGGCTTCCTGGAGTATGCAGCTGGAGCTGTGGTCAGGAGAATTACAAGCAGAGGGAACTACATATCAGACGGAGGGTGGGAGGGCGGCCAGGGTGTCTGGAATGGAGTGGCGGGGGTGGGAGGTAGGGGAAAGTGGATTGTGCAGGCTCGTGACTGATTGGGTCATCTGGACTCGTATCCTAGGGGCCCACAGGGAGCCATGTGTAAGCCTAAGGAGTTCTCAGTAAAGGGGTGTGGCAATGGGAAGTGTGTGGCCCATGAAAGGCATCCAGCCTTTTCTCCTGGATTGGTGCTAACTCATTAAGTCATTCAGTTCTTGGTTATCGTAGGTCAGAGCAGAGGAGCCTTAGCCCCTACCCAGAGGCGCAGAGCAACTGGAATCTTTTTTTTTTTTTTAGATTTTATTTATTTATTTTTAGAGAGGGGAAGGGAGGGAGAAAGACAGAGAGAGAAACATCAATGTGTGGTTGCCTCTCATGTGGCCCCCACTGGGGACCTGGCCTGCAACCCAGGCATGTGGCCTGGCTGGGAATCGAACCTGCGATGCTTTGGTTCGCAGCCCGCACTCAATCCACTGAGCTACGCCAGCCAGGGTGCAACTGGAATCTTAACATGTCCAGAGAGTGAGGCTCTTGGCATCAATCCTAGGAAACCGCATGGCTGACAGTGGACAAGCTGTTCTTGGTCACAGATCAGCAATCTGAGTGTGACCAGCTTCTGTGGGTGGGACTCAAATCTCTGATGGAAGCAGAGGCCAGAGAAGGGACACAGAAGAAGACCCTGGGCAGGGGGAAGGGACTGTAGTAAGCAATTTCTACCTCTCCCAGACTTAGTCTCCTTATCTGCAAAGTAGGCATAATAAGGATGTTCTTCCCCAGTGTTACTTGCGGTGAAAGGCACGTCGATGGCCGTTGTCCTGCTTCTAGGCACAAGGGCTCAGGAAGTGACCACTGCTATTTTTAGAGGGCCCCACACAGCCTGGGCAGGGTGCAAGGCATCCAGGCAAAGGGGATCGGGTGACTTCCTCTTTCAGCTATTTCCTTCAGTGGAGACTATGACCAAGGTCTCTGCACTCCTGTGTCCAGCTCACAGGCATGTCATCCAGAGGCTGTCATGCTGGGAGCTCCCTACTTCTGCACCCACATCATGCAAGGGGGTGAAGGCAGGTGCTACGGTTGTCTCCTGTGGCTGCCTTAAGGACATGGTGATGGTGCACAGAGAGCGCATGCCCTCCGTAGGGCTGGGTTCAGAGTCCGAGCCCAGTGAGTGCCCAGGAGTGCCAGCGCTGGTTGTTCAATCAGTGATCATGGACCCTAAATGGGGATGCACATGGCAGGTATTGAGAGCATGGCATGTGGGAGCCGGTGAGACCTGAAAGGTCACTGGGAAAGGTCACTTGGAAAGGCCTTGAATATTGGGCAGGGAAGCAGTGGGGATAGGTTTGAGTGTCACAACCCCCCTACACCCTACCCCCCAGGGCTCTTTGTAGATTCAATAGGTCAGTTCAGATAGAGGTAAGTCATCCTTGAGGCCTGGTCTTCTCCACTCCTCAATGGGCTGTGGCCGGAATGGTGTGTTGTTTCAGGGTAGCCATCTCCAGCTCTTCGTCCTGGTATGCCCAGATGCTAGGGCCCTCCGGAGGATCTGCTGTTTGGAACCCGACTGGGCTCTGGCCTTTAGCACAGCCTGGAGACCTCGGTGGGTCAGCTGGTGCCACTATAAGCTTCTTCAGTGGTGTTTCTGCTCATTGCCTTCCTCCACAAGCCTGTCTTGAGTGCTTTCTCTGGATTCACTTTTGGCTGGTTGAGTGGCACAATGCTCTGTCCCACTTGCCACCCCAGTTAGAGTGAACCAGGCCCTGCCGACTGGAGCCTGGGATGGTGAAAGACCTTTGGGTTTGGGCCTTGAGGGTGTCCAGTCTGTCAGGCCCAGGACCTCATGCGTGCTCTGTGCCCTGAATACAGTGCCTGGTGATTTGGGCAACCAGCTGGAGGCCAAGCTGGACAAGCCGAAGGTCGTGCACTACCTCTGCTCCAAGAAAACGGACAGCTACTTCACACTCTGGCTCAACCTCGAGCTGCTGCTGCCTGTCATCATTGACTGCTGGATCGACAACATCAGGTGGGAGCTGGGGCCCACACTGGGTGCTGCTCACCTACAACTCAATCTAAAGGGACCTCCGGAGTCCCTTTCCATTGCATCCCCACTTCAAGAGACCTCAAGGTCACTGACCTTTCTCCCTGTCCATTTTCTCAGTCTGGTTAGCGCCACCTTTGCCCTCTCCCAACCAGAACTTTCTTCCCTTTCCCCCTGCTCTTGTTTCTACCCTCTGCAATCCATACCTTGTGCTTGGCACCCTCCCCGTGGTTTCTAAACTCCAGCCCCCCTTTATAGCCTCGCCAAGGCCTTCACCCCTGCCCTTGCCGCTGGCTGGGCCACACCTGCCCCTGCAGCTGCTGGTTCTCTGTGGAATGCCATGCCTCCAGGCAGGTGCTGTTCCTTCAGCCTGGAATCTATCTCTACACCTTTTGCCTGATAAATTCCTTCCATTTACCTTTTAAATACAGAGGTAGGACCCTCCAACGCTCATTAAACCTTGTTTCTAAGGTTGTTTCCCAGTAATAAGAATTACTGCTTACTAAATAGACACTGAACATTTTACATACTTTCTTTCATTTAGTCTTATAGCAGCCCTCCGAAAGACAAAGATGTGCTGTTTGCAGACCTGTTTCATAGAATAGGGGACGCCTAAATCAGTTACAAAATTGCCGGGGTCACTCAGCTAATAAGGGGCAGGACCAGGATTTAAGCCTAGAGTCATGTGACCCGAGCTAAGTTCTCCCTCAGGCTGAGCTCCCTGAAGGCAGGGACTCTATCTTTTATTTGTATAGCAGTAGAACCTGGAATGCAGCTGGTGCTCAATGAATGAGATGAATGGAATCTAACAAATTAACATTTTTTTTTCTGGGAGATGCACTCGCATCTCCAGGCACCGTGCCCATCCCTGCTGTTTAAGATTCCTGCTTTGTCAACTCTTTCCTCTTCTGCGTGTGTTTGTCCCCAGAGTCACTTCTGGGCTGTTGATCTGCGTTTCTATTTTTGTACCGGAGACATAGTCTCAGTTACGAACAATTGGAGTTGCAGGCTGATACCAAGAGGGGCTTGTCTGCCTTTGTTAATGGGAGAGACCTGGTTCTTCTTGCTGACGCCTGTAAAGAATTACATATCAGCAAATCTGGTAGTATGTAATCAGTTTATTAGTGGCCTGTTCCCATGGAAGAGAATGGGACTGGGTAGAGTAGGGGGTGACAGGCAAAGTTTCAGGGCAAAACAGGGTGAGAAAAGCAAGAGAGTCTGGAGACCAGGGTGGCAAGCTCCTGGGCAGCCTGAAGCTGGGTGGCCAGAGGTCCTGTGGCCCGAGAGCCAAGAGCCCCAGAGAGAGACAGAGAGAGAGACAGACAGACAGACAGACAGAGAGAGTCAGTCTTTTGTTCTCAGGTCCTATAGTTGGTGGGATAGGAGGCAAAAAAGTCACATATTGATTAACGGGTAAATGTGGCACCAGCTTTCCTGCGGAAATGTGACTACCCAAACTTAGGGATGTGTGGGGGTCTTTCAGCCCCAAATCCTTATCTTGCTCCAGACTCCCCTTGGTCATCCTGTTGTAAAACAAATACGTGACAGGAGGAAGTTAACTACAATTGGGGCACTTTCCTTCTTTCTTGCTAACATAGTGTTTCTTGTGATGTTGGAACACCTGGCAATATTATCAGACCAGGCTTAGGACTGCTGAGTTAACGTGTGAGACTTGTCTCCTTCCTCCTCCCTGCCTCGGTTTACTATTTATTCTACCTAATTGATAAAAGGCGTTTCCTGGCAACCAGGGTGCTAAATGCTGGCCAGTGACAGTATTGCAGTCCCAGAGTTCTTCCTATGCTGTCTCCTGCTTCACCTTCATCGCTCCCCTGACCTGTTCAACTTTCACCCAGCACAGAGCTGCCTTGGCTTTCCCAAGCAGTTTTCTGCACTTTGCTAAGTGGCCACTGGGATAACCTACAGCTTACCCTCAAGAGAGTAGGCTACCAGGGCCTATTATTTGGGCCAGTGTTAGGAATCCCTTCAGCTTTCTGTGGCTGATCTTTAAGGCCAGGTGGAACGCAGGACCACCAGGGACTGCTTGTCCAGCCTGTGTTTTCTCGGGCACATTTGCCTCCTTGGTATCGGGGAGGCCAGAGTAGGGCTCCTGGTTGGCATAAGGCTTCCTCCTGTCTCCCACCACCCCTTTCCTGTCATTTCTCCAGACCTTGTCTGTGCACCCATGCAGCAGCCACTGAGGTGGGGAGGTCTCTCTGTCTGGTTCAGTTGTGTGCTGCTCTCACCATCCATCTCCTTTGCCCTGTGGTGTATTTGGTGGGTGGCAGGAGCTGGGTCCGTAGCGATGGGACGATGGGAGGCTGCAAAGTTAGGCTGCTTTTTGAGGTCAAGTGTAATGTTCATGGCAGAGCCAGGCCTGGTGCATCCCTCTCCCAAATAGATCTAAGACCTGTGTTCTGGGGTGAGTGACACTGAAGAGAGGGTCCTTGGGTCAGCCTTTACAATGACTGACCCTTGGTGGTGGTGGTGGGGTCTCCATAAATTGCCTTTGTTTTGTGGGAGAGAAACAAACTCGCCCCACTCTCAAGGTTCTTTTGGCTGGTCTAATAATCAAATAGATGTGAGACATATTAGCAAGATAAAATAACCCAATACATATGTATGTACAGAACCCCCCCACACACGAGAGAGTCAGAGACCCCCACGTGCAAGAGCGGTGCAGAGACAGAAAGGGAACGTGGGTACATAGGACATTCTGAGCTCGAGTTGAGGTGAGGCGCCCTGGGCTTCAGTGGGTCATTACAGAATGATAAGAAGAACAGGTGTTTAGTAAATAGAAGTTGACTCTAGCCACATAATGGTGGGTCAGAAAGAAATTACTGCTCATCAGCCCTGGCTGGTGTGGCTCAGTGGACTGAGTGCTGGCCTGCAAACCAAGGTGTTGTTGGTTTGATTCTTGGTCGGGGCACATGCCTGGGTTGCAGTGGGGGGGTGGCACTAGAGAGGCAACCACACATTGATGTTTTTCTCTCTTTCTCCCTCCCTTCCCCTCTGGAAAAATAAATAAACAAGTATTTTAAAAAAATTATTGCTGATAATCTCTAATGATGGGCAAGGCCCCTAATTCAAGTTCTAGGCAGTTAAAGGGAGGGGCAGAAGTTTCCCTTGAGCCTGAAGCTAAAATTATCCTTAGCTCAAAATAATCCCCAGACACAATCTCAGATGACTAGCTCCGAACCCCCATGATGACCTCTTGGTCTCCCCTATACAACTGATCACACCTGAGGATGGGAGGGGAGTGTGGCTCAGGACACACCCAAATTCAGTGCCAAGTCTCAGTCGCCAGCTCATGTCCCTTCCCAACAGGCTGGTCTACAACAGGACGTCCCGGGTCACCCAGTTCCCCGACGGTGTGGACGTGCATGTCCCCGGCTTCGGAAAGACCTTCTCCCTGGAGTTTCTGGACCCCAGCAAAAGCAGCGTGGGTAGGTAACCCTTCTTGTCCTCTCCAAGGAATGGGGCTGGAGGTTCTGCTGGACTCCCAATGGGAGGAGCCACCGGTTTAAAGAGGTAGCCTGTGAACCGTCTCTGACCACTGAGAGCAGAGCGTGCTCCTTCACAAACCTCCCTGCAGACATCACAGTCTCCTCGGCAGGCGTGGCATATGTGGCTGGCACTGGCTGTACCCTCTCTAATCCCATGACTTGTGTCTACAGGTTCCTATTTCCACACCATGGTAGAGAGTCTAGTGGGCTGGGGCTACACACGGGGTGAGGATGTCCGGGGAGCCCCCTATGACTGGCGGCGAGCCCCAAGTAAGTGGTCACCCTCGTTTCCTCCTTGAGGTCTTGGGAGGTGGGGATGAGGAGGCCACAGCCACCACAGGCCCTGGGCTGTCCCCTACCCCTGGGCCAATGGCATCTAGCCCAGTAGTGACACACTTATCACCCCTGGCCAATCTGTCCTGTTCTTCCCCATCCTTTACCCCAAGATTTCTGGGCCTCTGAGCCCTAGGGGGTGGGGGTGGATAATGAGTCTGAGGAAGAGGAAAGGAGCCCCCATGTTTCCTGCCTTCACTGACCCTGAGGGGAAAGCAGGCCACTCCCACTTGGGTTTTAGCATTCTCCCCACCCCTCTAGTCCTGGGCCTGGCCTGAGAATGGGTCAGTGGTTCAGGCCCCAGGACCCTTCCTGCCTGACTCCTGCCTGGCTCTGGCCTGCAGATGAAAACGGGCCCTACTTCCTGGCCCTCCAGGAGATGATCGAGGAGATGCACCAGCTGTATGGGGGCCCCGTGGTGCTGGTTGCCCACAGCATGGGCAACATGTACACACTCTACTTTCTGCAGCGACAGCCACAGGCCTGGAAGGACAAGTATATCCGTGCCTTCGTGGCACTGGGTGCGCCCTGGGGGGGCGTGGCCAAGACCTTGCGCGTCCTGGCCTCAGGTAAGAGACCCGGCTTGACTCAGCATGGGGCGCTGATACTGGGGGTGGCACCCTCTCTTTCCCTCTACAGTATTCTCCTGGGGGGCCCTTTTTTCTCCAGAGTGGTATTCTTTTCCAAGTAATGTCACCTCTCTAGTTGGTGACCCTTGTTATCTGTGTAAGTTTCTGACAACATGTACAATGCATGGAGTGGCACAGCTCTCAGTCCTGCAGGTACTCGTGTGTGCACATGTGTACGCACTGCACTCAGGCCTGGCCGGCTTAACTTGGTGTGACCCAGAGTTCTTTGGGGGAGCCTTCTCCCGCTCTCCTGTCCCCATCCTCACCTTTCAGTCCCCATCTTTTCCCCAGAGAAGGGAGGCTGCACTCCAGTTTCCTGTGTATGAGGTACAGCTCCCCGTGCAGCAGCCAGGAGCCTCTGTGGCAACACAGGGAGGAAGCAGGTGCAGATCCGTTTGGGCCTGCTTGCTAGACAGTTGGGAAAGTCACCTTTTCCCCCCATTCCGTTCCTCCCCAATCCACCTGCCTTTTCATGGCTGTCAGAAGCTGCCAACTGCCTCCACAGGGCTTTCCTGCCTGTGCTAGGACTGGGTGTGAGCCCCACGGCCCCTCACTTGAGCAGCCACGAGCCAGGGTGGTGCCAAGCATCCGATGAGCTTTCCTTTTCAAGGCACCGGTATGGCCTGCCTAGCTTGTCGATCAGCTGGTCATTGTGATCAGGTCAGACCCAGTGCCTCTCCCAGTAGTGACCCTGGGTTGGCTGGGCAGCTCCCCATGAGTCAGAGCTTTGCCGCAGATGCTGGAAAACTTTCAGCCCTGACAGCCTGGGAGCAGTGTTGGGGTGGGAAGGAACGCAGTCATGGTCCCCTAGGTAGGAGCTTGCATTTCCTCACGTGTCTTGGAGCCAGGCCCTGGCAGGCAGAGCCATGGCCCCGCAGTCCGCCAGGGAGGTAGAATGATGGGCGGCCATGGGTCCTGGGTGGGGCCTGAGGCTTCTGTTCCCAAGTTTCAACTCAGCCTCTGGAAGTCTCCCTGACCAGTAGGCATGTTTGTATTGTACCGTTGGCACTGGTGGGGGGGGGGGGGGGGGAGGACTCATGCTCTAGTCTACAGACTTCCCTCGTGTCTGAGGGCCTGGCTGCCCAGGTCCGTGACAGGTATGAGACCACGACTGGCTGGCTGCAGGTCTAAGCCTAGGCAAAGAAAAACATTTGCATAGCTTAATATAATTAAAAAAGAGAATTGTGCCTCTGGGCTGGCAACCTGCTGATTCACCTTTGATAAGGTCAGTGCCCACAGTGCCCACACGCCCTGCCTGTGGGTGCGTGTTGCCTAAGTCCCTGGTGCCGAAATGCAGAAGGAAAGAAACAAGTCTTGGGTGGGTGCTAGAGCAGAAATAAAGGGAAATAGTAAAAGCTCATGCAGCCATGGGAGTTGTTATGATAACAGCGTAGAGATGCTGATGCGCTGACTGGGCCACACTGGCTGGGGTCCAGCAGGGGCCCTGGGCATGGACAGGCTGCCCAGCCAGCCTGCATTCCTGAGCACAGACTGACTGGAGCCCTCTCCTCGCAGGGGACAACAACCGGATCCCGGTCATTAGTCCCCTGAAGATCCGGGAGCAGCAGCGGTCTGCTGTCTCTACCAGCTGGCTGCTGCCCTACAACTACACCTGGTCACCCGAGAAGGTCTTTGTACACACGCCCACGGCCAACTACACGCTGCGTGACTATCAGCGGTTCTTCCGGGACATTGGCTTCGAAGATGGGTGGCTCATGCGGCAGGACACGGAGGGGCTGGTTGAAGCCACAGTGCCACCCGGCGTGCAGCTGCACTGCCTCTACGGCACGGGCGTTCCCACGCCAGACTCCTTCTACTACGAGAGCTTCCCGGACCGAGACCCTAAAATCTACTTTGGTGACGGCGATGGCACTGTGAACTTGGAGAGTGCCCTGCAGTGCCAGACCTGGTGCAACCGCCAGGAACACCCCGTGGCACTGCAGGCGCTGCCAGGGAGCGAGCACATTGAGATGCTGGCCAACGCCTCTACCCTCGCCTACCTGAAACGCGTGCTCCTTGGGCCCTGACTCCTGTGCCAGGCAGGACTGTGGGACGGCTTGGCCACAGCTGCTTCTCTTGGCTTCCGGGGCTGCCGTGGCCCACAAGGTTTAGTGGTTTGTGACTGACCTTCCTAGGCCATAGGTCTTGGTTGTGAAACGTCTGCCATCGGGAAGTGCTGTTTCTTACACTTTCTCTGGGAGTGAGGGAGGAAGAAATAGCCTGGACTCACCGGAGGGACTCGTAAGGGAAAGAATGCTGCTGTTGTTGGAATCAGTGCGACCTCAGGACTGGCCGCCCAGGTGGATTGGCTGGCATCTGGATCCAGTCCCCAACTCAGGGGCCATGTGTTTCTCCTGTTTCACATTTGCCCACCAGCCCCTGGCCCCTCAGACATCCTGTGAGGGATGTGACTGAGCTGTGGTCCCTGCCCCCAAAGATCCCAGGGATGGGCTCCCGCTCCCTAGGGCGATCCTTCCCACACACTGGCCACAGGAGGCTGGAGCTGCTGGCTTCCCTGTGGCCCGGCTGCTCAACAGCCTGACTGTAGCTTTCTGGGGGCAGCCAGGTTTCCCCTGCGGGCAGGGGTTGTTGTGTAATCTGTGGTTCCCCGGCCCTGGGGCATTCACTCCTACCTCCCTCACTTCCAAGAAGAGCTGAGCTCTGAATTGGGCAGCAGATGGCACCCCAGTTCTGCAGGCTGCAGCCCACGAGCTCTGACCCCCTTGGCTGGGTTATTGCCCACAGTGTTGATGCTGGCTCCTTTCGCCCTGGGACTGTGCTTCAAAGTCAGGAGCAGGACCCAGTGCCACGGCCTTTTAGATGCTGGTGAAGAGAGAAAACTCAAGAGTGGGCCAAGGCACTCAGAGCTTCACTGAACTGCCCTCTTGCTAACCCCCCACCACATTGCCACCCTACCGGAGGGTTTCTCTAGCACCCAAGTGGGCTGGCACAGGGCTGAGAGGAAGGGTTCCTGCCCATCCTGCCCGGCACCTACCTCCACCAGGCAGCTTGGTGGTGTTTAGTCTTCGGGGACTAACTCAGAAACTCGAGTGGGCCCCTGTGAGAGCCAGGTGCCTTGGAGCCCCTCTGTGGGTGATCTGTCTGCCTCAGAGATGCTGCATAGGTCTTCCTGTGACAGCAGGGCGAGGAGTCTGTATCTGCCTTGGCGGCAGTGCTCTCCAAGTGGGCCACAGCCAGAGGCCAAGACTTGGTCCTAGCCTCCAGGGTGGGGACCCAAAGCCACAGTCATGCTGGAGTGGCTGCTCTCTCAGAAGGTTTCTGTGGCGCTGGATTTTCACTCTTGTGAACATGCCCAGCCTCTCTCTCTTCCTTCGTTCCTGAGTGGTGGGCCCCATATCGGGCTCTGAGCAGGCTGCACCTCGATTATGGCAATAAAAGTATTCTGGATGCTGTAAAGTGCCCTGGCCTAGGCTGCCCTCTGAGCATGACAGGAGGGAGCTAGTGGAGAGGTCGGGGGGCTAGAGCAGCAGGTAAACGGAGGCTAGACCTTTCCTGGGGCCTTGATGGGTTCTCTCAGCACTGAAGCGTGGCTCCTATGCACCACTTTGGTGGTGGCCTCTCTCCCAGAATCCAGTTCCCCTCCTAGGACTAAGAACCAGCAACTGAAACATTCCTGTTGGAATGCAGCTCCTGCTCCTGCCTGGTCGGCATGCCACCCCAGATCTGGGTGCCACAAACAGTCCTACAGGTCACCCTGGCTGGACTCCCCTTCCCAGCTTTTTCTCTCTTAGTTTGCAGGTCTTGGCATCCTTTGAACCTAGAGTTCGTCTCAGGACACCACCCTTATACTTTGTTTCAGCTCATCTGTCCACCATCTGTTCTGCTTTGGGGACGGAGTGAGACTGAGGGAGGAAGAGATTAGGCTGAGACTGGTATGGACAGAGGCCAAGATGGGCAGAGATGGACCGACAGACTGGGGCCACGTGGAAATGGATAAAGACAGAGAAACAGAGAGTCTGATACTGAGAAACATGTATAGGGATTGGGTCCAGGTGTGGATTCTGTGATGTGGAGCCCAGAGCCAGCCAGGGGCCAGTTGGGGAGGTGGGAGCTTCAGTTCCTGCCTCTACAGAGTAAGGCCAGCCTGGGCTTCAGGCTTTGATACATGCTGGGAGCCACTAGAGGGCGCGCTGAACCCTCTAACGGCCCTAGTTGGTGGCCAAACCTGGAGGAAGCATTGGTCCAGAGAGGGTGAGGATGCCTGAGGATGCAGAGGTCCAGCTGCTTCTTTGATCTTGGTAGAAGGATGACAACATGAAAGTGAGCAAACTACCACTCTCAGGCTCTGCCCCGCCTGACTCCCAGCTTTGCCCTGACACCCACCCATCTATGCCACACCCTTGTGGTGGCCTTGGAGCCACCCATTCCCCCGTGATGTTTCAGCCAGACTGCCACCCTTTGTTTCACAGCTGCAGAGAGGGCTTGGGGTCAGTCTCCTTGTTATTGGACAGGGATCGGGCTGGAGCAGGGCTGCCTCGGGCCAGCCTGCAGTGTGTGAGTTCTCGACTTCGTGTGGGGCAGATTTCACAGCACAAGTCCAGGTGAGTTTAAGAATACACTTATTAAAGCTGGGGATAGTGAAACAAGGAAGGCCTCAGGATAGAAGAAGCAACAGGAGAGAGCCTAGGGGGGCTGCTCTCGCTCCCTAGAAAAGTTATGGGAAGGAAGTGAGCCGAGGCGGGGCTGCTCCCAGTTCATTGGACAGTCAGAGACAGGGGGCCTTGGGAAGCCTCGGGTGAGCTGCTGCTGCCCATTGCTCCCCTGGTTACAAGTCTCGTGGCTTCCCTTAGAGTTTAGGAGATGCATGCCTGTGGGGGAAGAAGAGGGAGAAGGGAGAGGTGCAGGTGTGTTCCTGGGGGAGAGAGCCACGTTGGGTCCTCTGGCTTGAGGATTTTAAAGGCTGGGAGTTGAGGGCGACCTGTTTGCAGACTGGGTGGTGGCACTGCGCTCGGCTAAGCTTAAAGAGACTTGTGCTCTCCCTGCCGCCCCTCACCAAGGATGGAGATCCCACCCATCCACTGCCCAGGCTCCAGGGTGGCCTTGGTGGTGCAGAACTGCGTCAACTACCATCAGGGGACACCACCCCCCAGCCCGCGCCCACCAGGTGTTTTTGGTGCAAACAAGCCAGCATGGAGGATATTCCAGGAAGAAGACATCAGTATTGCCTTAAGTTTTCTGTGGAAGAAATGATCCAAAAACAAGTGATAGCGAACTACGCAGCTGAAGTACTTTATCCTCCAGATACTGCACCAGAAGTCACCTTTACGTTTGAAGGAGAAATTGGGAAGAGCCCAGATGAAGAAGATAACACATTTCACTAAAAACTGAAGTCCATAAAGGAACCACTAGAACCACAAAATATTCCAGACAGTTTTGGAAATGGTATCTCCAGCAATGAAGCCAGTTCAACGTTTAGCCTGAATTGGCTGTGATTGTATAATCTGGCGGAGTTCTGCTGAAAACACAAGTTATAAAATGGTAAAAGTTCAAACTGTCAGGCAAGTGCAAAGAAGTGATGACTTCGTTGAGTTAGACTACACCATTCTCCTTCGTGACACTGCATCTCAGGAGATTATTCCTCGGCAAATGCAGGCTGTCTGCCATTCACAGTATGGTACTAAAATAAAACATAATAGCCGTCTGCCAAAAAAAAAGCACAACTGAGAGAAAGAAGGACCCTAATACTGGGTGAAGTGTCAGTATGCTTGTTAATGGTGTGTATGCCAGTCTCCATGCTATCTAGCCCAAGGGGCCAAACAAATCCCCAAGTGTCACTTTGTATAAATGTCTTGATTTCATCACAGAACTGTATAGCTTCCATAATAAAGAGTGTCGTGATGTTAAAGTGTCTTAAAAGTAATAATGCTGTGTATATCTCATAGTAGAAAGCTTCAATTCCAAAAGGAAGGAAGGAAGGAAGGAAGGGAGGGAGGGAGGGAAGGAAAGAAGAAAGGAAGGAAGACTAGGGGTTTAGGTGAGGTCTTAAGGAAGAATTTCAATAGATTATTCATCAGCTTTTCCAGGTGTGTCCTTTCAGGGTTATCATCTCCACCCATTGGTCCCGGTGCCTCCTGCCTGGTTTTACTGCTTTTCTGGCCTGGAGGTAAAATACAACAGAGGCCTAGATGTTATCTCTGGGGAGGAAAGGTCAGGGAGTTCTAAACCGCATAGCCTGGGGATATGCCGGAGAAGGAAGGCCAGCGACCCTGGGGGCCAGGTCTAGCACCAGTTTTGTGTGTCACTAGGCACCTGGGGCTCTCCACCCTGGTGACCTGTATCTGGCTGTATCTTGCTCGGCCAGTTTGTTCAGCTGTCTGTCTCAGTCTCCCCATTCCACTTGTCCTGGAATTTTCCTAGCTTCTTACTATCCTGCTTCCTTCTGACCTCCCTGAGTCTCAGTTTGCTAATCTGCAGAATGGGGATGAATAGATGTACCCTGCAGGGTGGTCCTGAGGAACACTGCTGGTGTTGGAGGACATCCGACTCAGTGCTTGGTGCCTACCGGGCTTTCAGCTGATGGGCTGCTGTCACTGGGTGTGAGACAGTGAGCCAGAGTCCTGGTGAGGCAGGCCAGTAAGCCAGGACAAGTGGAACAGGGAAACTGAGACAGTTAAAAGGCCAAGCAGTTTACAGCCATCTAGTAAATCCGAAAGTCCTATTTTCCCTAACTAAGGACACTTAGGAGTAAATGTTTAAGGCTTCCCCCCTTCCAGAGGGTAAATAGCTTAAATCACCCTACTCAGGGAGACAGATAGCAGAAATCCAGTGAGTGCCATTTGTGCCAACCAAACTCAAGGACAGAGGAAGTTAAGGGAATAAATCTCATTTTGGCATATCAGCATAAAGCTAATGAGTATTCTATCGAGATCCTCCCCTACACTCCCAGACTTTAGAACTCTCAAGGACCCAGGGCACACTCTCCTTCCCAGGAGCAGACCCTACACCTTTCTTCCCTTTCAGGAGTCCATCACCTCAACTCTAGGGGTCCCCAAGAGACTTGCAACCAGGGGAGCAGTGAGCAGTGGCAGCTTGTCCCGGGATAACCCCCTGAACCTGTTTCCAGGGCCCCCTTTTCTCTGACTTCCTGGTGAGCTGCAAGCAGCCCCGCCTTGGCTCATTCCTTTCTTGTAACATTTCTAGAGAGTCAAAGCGGTGTTGGCTTGGGCAGCACAGGAACTAAAATTGGAACGAAACAGAGAGCTAAAGCAGCCCCACCTGGGCTCCCCCCTGTTGCTCCTTCTATGCAAAGGACTTCCTTGTTTCACTGTCCCCACCTTTAATAAACATGCTCTCAAAATCTCCTGCACTTGGTGTTTGAAAACTCTCCCGCACAAATTCAAAAACCTGAGGCAGACCCACTCCAGACTTGGTCCCCTTTTTGGTAACACTGGGAGCTGGAAAGTCGCATATGCGGTTTTTGCAAGGACAAGTGGTTTGGCTGCCATTAACTGACACAAGTGTCCAGAGCCCTTTCTCTGCGTGGCTGGGTAGGCAGGAGGAACTGATCTAAGGGACAAAGGGTCAGGCTCTAATGACTCCAAACATAAACATATGTATAAAAAGCGTATTCCACTCAGAGAGCGGGAGGGCTCTTTAAAGATCACCTCAGGTCTATAGGGAGGAGGATTGAAGGCACGGGAGATAGGAAGTCATTCCGATCTGTATTTTCAGAGCATCCTGTACCCTGTGGGGCTGAGTTAGAGGGAGCAGGACAGGGATTAGGAGGCTATTACCACCAGGGGGAAGAAAAACGAGATGCAGGGCCTGGGGGGCTGGAGGAGGAAGGGTCCAGGGTGCTGCCCATCTCTGGCTGGGTCACCGGGTTGGGTGGTAGGGAACAGAGATTTGGATATGGTCAGTATGGAACCAGAGGATGTGAGGTTGTGGACACATGTCTGGGAGGAATGACTCCATTCCCCAGGAGACAGTCCTGGCTTAAAGTGCAGACAGGAGGCTGAGAGGGAGGGCTCAGCTGCCTGTGTGGTCAGGAGGCCCTGGACAGAGCCACAGAACCACCAGAGGAAAAGGGCCTGGGAGATGGAGGAGCAACCAGAAGGACAGAAGGAGGCAGGAGGGTGCAGTCCCCTAATGGGGGTGTCAGGAGGGTCAGGCAAAATGAGGATGGATAAGTGGCCTCAAGCCTGAGCCCCAGGAAGTCCCGCGGTTGGCTACGGAACACCAGCAGCGTCCATGTATTTGTGGGGGTCTCAGTGGATGTGTGGTGGTCTAAGTTGTGAATGTGGAGGGCAAATCCTGAGTCTCTGTCTTCCGGAGGGGAGGGTTGGCTGTGTAGGGGATAAGAAGGTTCTTTGTGTAAGCTATCTGTGGTCCCCCTGGGTGTGGGACACATAGGAACGAGGTTTGGGGGTCGGTTAGAGGTCCCCGCGTGAGAGTCTCTGTTCTGAATCCCTGGGAGCCTGGGGTGACTCCTCGTAGTGTCAGGGAGTGGCACGCCAGCTGGTGAGGGTGGCTGGGCCCAGGTCACGGCCCGCGTGGGGCCCGGCGTGGCCGGCCGGGGGCCTGACTGCCAAGTGCACTCAGAAGCCGGGAGAGCACACGTGAGTGCCCGAGTACTGCCCGCCAGATCGCAGAGGCCGGGAGAAGCCTCTGCCCGCATCTCCCAGGCACAGCACAGCGTCTAGTCCCGACGCGCCGCACGCTGTCGCGATCCGGCGGCAGATTACGTGATAGGGGCGGGGCCTGAGCGGACGTGGCGGCCGAGGCGGTAGCGCGATCTAGCATCCTGGAGGCGCCTGGCCACCCGCGAGGTAACGGACCTCGGGCAGGCGCCGGGGACGGCGGGGCAGGACTGCGTCCCGTGGGGCGGAATTCCCCGCGCGTCCTGGGGGCCGAACTCCCCACGCGGCGCCTGCTGCCCCTGCCGCAGCCGCCTCCGGCGAGATGCGGGCCTGGGAAAGGGCGCGGGCGGGCCGCGGGAGGGACGCTGCGGGCGAGAGCGTGACGCTGCGTGGGTAAGGACCTTACACGCGCTGGTCCCTCTCGCGTGAAAACTCGCGTGAAAGCTGGAGGTGATTCCAGGAGTGTGGGAGAAAGACTCCACGTGTGTGTGTGAGAAAGAGGGACGGACAGAGGGAGGGAGGGAGGAAGGAAGGAAGAAAGGAAGGAAGGAAGAAAGAAACGGGTTTCCTGGTCTAGAAGGATACTGCATGTGTGTGAAACCCAGAGGCTGAAGGTGGCTCTGTGAGTGTGCAAGACCCTTGGGGAGGATTCCATGTTGATGTAAGAGAGAGGTTCTGGGTGTGAGGGTGACTCGTGAGTGTGCGAGAGGCTGTGTGATCGAGACAGGTGAGAGTGACGCTGAGCAGGACAGACTGTGGAAGGAAGACTGAAATACCCAAGTGCGAGTCTGATGGTGCGGAAGAGGACCTGCGCTGAGTGCGAGAGCCTGCGAGTGAGAAAGCTGGAGGGTACAAGGCCCTGAGGATGGGGAGGCAGGAGCAGAGCTTCTTGGGGATGCTGTGGGAGTATTGGCCCCCTGGGGCTCGGGAAGGGTTGCTCCTGTTATTAAGGCTCTTTCTAGCGTCTCCGCGTCCTGTCATCTTGTTTGAACATCTCATGTCATAAACGGGAGGGGATATTTGTGAAACATTCTGTGAAATCTTCCCTAAGCACTAAGCAAACAGTCTGGGCACTACGGTGTGTGATGGTCATTCTGAGTAGGAATCAATATTTAATTTAACAGATGTTTTTGAGTACCTCTTGTGTGCACGGTGCTCTGTGATTGGTGACATGGTTAAAAAGAAGTCAGCCTCTGCCCTTGATGGGGAAAAAAAAGCACTGCCAGCAAATCTGGGCTGGCAGAATGCTGAGCCATCTGGGGCTTATCTCTGAAAGCTGTTTCCTGGTTTGAAAATCTGGGAGAAGCAGACTTTTGAAAGCCTATGAGTGCTTTCTGAGATGATTTTCGCCTCTTTTTGCATGCTGCGAGGCCCTTTCCAGGCTGCCCACATTGCTTATCCCATTTTGTGCTAAAGGTTTTCACTTCCTGACTTCGGTCTCAGACTGTCACTTCAGTTCTTATATTTATTTGGTTTTCCTTTCCTGACAAATACGTGGAAAATCACAAGCTTGGTTTCCTCCTATCTTGCTCCTTCCCTGTCTGGCTGTGGACGTATTTTTATTGCAGACCAAAAATAAATACCTGTTATGTGACCAACCTCCTTGGCACTTCTTGGTACAGGAAATTTCCCAACCTCTGTCCCCCGGGCTTCCTGCTGTAACTCCAGGATGTAGATACATTTCTACAAAAGTGATGCAGGTGGTGTCCTGGGGACCTAGGACTTGGGGAGCAGCATCTGTGCAGACATGAATGGTTTGAGGGGACCTGGCCAGTTCCCTGACTCCTGTTTGGGCTGGTTGCTTTAGTTACACCCGTGCTGTGGGTGTGATGGAACTTCTCAGTAATTGAGTGCTGCCCCTCTGGGCATATAAAACTTAGATTTTTTTTTTTTTACAAAGGGAAATATGGGCTGCTCTTTACTAGGTTCATTTCTTGAAAAATTACCTTACTCTTTGTTGCAGAGATTAAATGGCCACAGCAGACAAGGATAATTAGGCCTTGATGTGGAGACTGTTTTCTTTATGATGAGGAGGCTAATGAAACTGTGATGTGTGCTTGTTTCTTCACAGGTGAATATTGTTGCTCTGTTCTCCCTTGACTTTCTTGGATCTTTGAGATTTGGAAAGAGTTTTAGTTGTTTGTGTACAATATAAACACAATTCTAGTAAAGAGACTTTATTATACTAATGAAATACATTATCTCTCTAAAGAGTAATTGTGGTCATTTATAATTAAAGGTCTTTCGAGGAGGTTAAAAAGAAATACTAGGTGGCAAATACTTTAGGAAAGTAACAGTATTTATTCACAAGACTCAGAGAAGTTTAAAAAAGAAGTCCTCTGTGTTTGACCACAGTTAAGATTTTGGTATATTTCTCAATAGCATTTTTTCTCATAGTCATCAATCATAAAAGAGTTATTAAATGCTGGCTTATAAAATATTCTTTGTAATTGAACTTTGAAAGAGCCTCTCCCCCCCACACGCCTGAAATTGCATATAACTTATGATTAAATTTTTGTGCAGAAATTTTAGTGGTCTGATTAATTCCTTTATTATCTGCTGCAAGAGCTTGGAAAATAGAATGAAAACCTGTTAGAAAGCTGCATTGTGTATGTACTAGGGGGGCTTAATATTGGTTTTTCAAGACAGGAACTATAGGGTGCACTGAGTGATTGAATAGAAATTGTCTTCAATCATGATTTTAAAGATTGTGTATTAAGAGAGTGAAAGACTGATAATTGTGTGTGAACTTCACACAACCTTTTATCAGTTGAATAAAACTGAAGGCAAAAGTGCAGCCAATTCAGAGATGATCTGGTAGAGTCTTTGTATCAGTGGTTTTCATCCCATTGTTGTGGAAAGTCTGTAAGTCTAGTCTGTGGGGACACACAGTGCATCTCACACCGCAGTCCACTGCTTTTTTATGAATGTATGTAGATACTCTTGCATGAGTAGGCAGATGAATTAAAAACCATTTTTGGCCCTGACTGGTGTGCCTCAGTGGATTGAGCACTGGCCTTCGAACCAAAGAGTCGCCAGATCAATTCCCAATTAGGGCATATGCCTGAGTTGTGGGCCCGGTCCTCAGTAGGGGGCACGTGAGGAGTGACCATTGTTGATGTTTCTCTTCCTCTCTTTCTCCCTCCCTCCCCTTCTCTAAAAATAAATGAATAAAATCTTAAAAAAGAGAGAACCAAACCATTTTTGTAGTCATAGTAGCTTTTTGTAATGTTTTTTACCTACTTTATCACCTGTTACCTGAAGAAAAAGTGCTGTGACAGAATGAGAACCACTCACTGTCTTAAACAGGCTTCTCTGAATGATTGCATCTTTCTCTCTGTCTTTTTAAAAAAAAATTTTACTTACTGATTTTAGAGAGAGGAAGTAGGGGGTGGGGAGGAGAGAAGAGAGATATTGATTTGTTGTTCCATTCACTGATGCATTCATTGTTTGATTCTCATGTGTGTCCTGCTGCCTGGAGACCTAACCCGCACCCTTGGTGCATCTAGATGATGCTCTGACCAACTGAGCTACCCGGCCAGGGTTGAATGATCCATCACCTCTCTTTAGTTAAGCCTTTGTTGCTGTTCTGGGGAGCAGGTGGCTTGAGATGTTAGACCTTCAGTAGGATTTGTTGTGTGTTTTCTGTCCTAAGTGTTTTCTGTTGTTGATATGTTTTTATTCAACAATCATGAACTGAGTACAGATCCTGCCCTACACCTAGTATTGGATGCTACTAAAACAGACAAGGAGCTCACAGACTAGTTGGGAGAGACCGAAGGAAAGTCAGTGCAACAACAGCATGAGGTGGCTGCTGAGGCAGGAGCATGTACGAGAAGCCTTAGGGGTACGAGGAGATATATAGAGAAAGGCGGCAGCCAGGATATGGAGGAAAAGGTGGGAGATGTAGAATGTTAGAGGCAGAGTGCTCAGTGTGAGCAGAGGTGTATTTGTTTGTTAGGCTTCAGGGTTTAGGAGACTGTTAAGTAAATCAGTGTGACTGGACTGTAGGTGGGACTGTGCGTAGCAGGGGACCTAGTGACAAGGCCCTGCTAAGAAAGTTGAAGTTGGTCCTCAAGGCCTCAGGCAGTTCCTGCTGGAGGGTTCCTAACTGAGCTCTGAGACTGACTGAGTAGCAGTAGGAGCCCAAGCTGCTTTTTTCCCATTGGAAGTCTGTCTGCCACCCTGACTTGCCCCCATCTCCTGCATGGAGGTGAGTCCTACTGCACGTGCCAGTTTCATATTTCACAGAATTCACACAACTACTTAGACAAGAACTATGCTGGAGTATTCCATCTTCAGACCTTCTAGAATCTAGATCCTTTAAAAAAAAAGATATTTTATTATGTTATTGTGGTTGTCCCATTTTTTCTCCCCTTTATTCCCCTCAGCCCTGCACCCCCCATCATTCCCCCACCTTAGTTCATGTCTGTGGGTCATACATATAAGTTTTTTGGCTTCTCCACTTCCCATACTCTTCTCAACCTCCCCCTGTCTATTTTTTACCTACCATTTATGCTTCTTATTCCTTGTATCTTTCCCCCATTGTCCCCCTTCCCCCTCCCTGCTGATAACCCTCCATGTGATTTTTATTTCTGTGAATCTGTTCCTGTTCTAGTTGTTTGCCTAGTTCATTTTTGTTTGTTTAGGTTCAGTTGTTGATAGTTGTGAGTTTGTTGTTATTTTACTTTTCATATTTTTTATCTTCTTTTTCTTAGGTAAGTCCCTTTAACATTTCATATAATAAGGGCTTGGTGATGATGAACTCCTTTAACTTGATCTTATCTGGGAAGCACTTTATCTTCCCTTCCATTCTAAATGAAAGCTTTGCTGGATAGAGCAATCTTGGATGTAGGTCCTTGCCTTTCGTGACTTTGAATACTTCTTTCCAGCCCCTTCTTGCCTGCAAGGTTTCTTTTGAGAAATCAGCTAACAGTCTGATGGGAACTCCTTTGTAGGTAACTGTCTTCTTTTCTCTTGCTGCTTTTAAGATTTTCTCCTTCTCTTTAATCTTGGGTAATGTAATTATGATGTGCCTTGGTGTGTGCTTCCTTGGGTCCAACTTTTTTGGGACTCTTTGAGTTTCCTGGACTTCCTGGAAGTCAATTTTCTTTGCCAGATTGGGGAAGTTCTCCTTCATTATGTTTTCAAATAAATTTTCAATTTCTTGCTCTTCCTCTTCTCCTGGC